TCGCGCGGGTACGTCCCGCGCAGGTATTCGTAAAAAGAAAGTTCCTATGTTCTTTAAATCCTTATTACAAGTACGGTAGTAATAGTAGTAGAAGTAGTAGCAGCAGTAGTAGTAGTAGTAATAGTAGTAGTAGTAGTAGTATTAATAGTAGGTTTTTTCTTCACTTTTTTTTTTTTATTCGTTTTTATGTTTAAGCATTTTTTTATCCTTTAGTTTTTCTGGTTCTGATAATCTAATAGACATCTAAAAATAACACCCATTTTTTTCATTATTATTTCATATTTGTATTTTTTCTCCTTATCATCTTTTTTTATTTTTATTTTTAGTTTATCGATCAAGTATTACTTAAAGATTCCTTAAACGTTAGACTGAGGGCTGCGTGACACGCACAGTGAGCTCAAGCGTTTCGCGAATAATTCGCTGTTGTTGTTGATGTTGTTGTTGTTGTTGCTGTTGTGGTTGTTTGTTACCATTATCGTTATTATTATTATAATTATTATTATAATTAATGTATTCATCTGGTATAACCTCGGTGGAAGCCCGTTCGATACCCGGGATCGATCGATCGATCCGTCGATCGCGCTCGAACGTAGTCGTACCCGTCGATCGGATCGTTTCACGAACAATAATCAAATGCCGAAACTCGCAAATGGATCACGGTTGACGAACGGCACCGAGGCGATCGAATATAAACTCGCGACACCCTTGAGCTCAGAATGAACCGCAGCTTCTGCACACCGTTCGTTCGAATTATACATCTTACATATATCTCTAGCGGCTGGAGTAACAAGTTTTCCCCTATACCTTTCGTCGTCCATTTTGTCACACTCAATACTGCGTCAATTCATATTGCTGCTGTTGTGTATCTGTGCCCAAACCGTCGTCCGCAAATAAACCATCCACGCTAATTAACGCTAACGTCCATCCCCCCCCTACTCTAACTTTGTCTCTGTCCGAATCATCGTCTCACGCGTGCCTGAGACCTAACCTCCAACGCGTTGGTGCATCGGCCTTTCCCCCGTCAAACGACCCCCCGCAACCACGACCCGCCAACCCCCCAACCCCCCGTTGCGAAAATCCGAAATTTTCTCCCCGATTCCTATCCAATTTCTCTCTCTTTCTCACTCTCTCACTCTCTCTCTCCCTTTCTCTCTCTCTCTCTCTCCCTCTCTTTCTCGCTAACTCCCTAGCATTCTCCGTTTCTCTGCTTCCCGTATTTTCCCCTCCCACGTGTTAATTTTAATATCACATTTTCGTGGGAACAGACTGGCCCGATATATCTGTGAAACGGAATCCGGTGATCGCTGGCTAACTTCATAACCAATTCCCTGGTTTTGTCTGCTTTTTTTTTTCTTTTTTCTTTTTTCTCCTTCTTATTTTCTTTTTTTTGTTTTTTGCTTTCTTTTTTTTCGGTGCGAGGCGTTCGACGTTTGAAGCGATTCGGGGAGGGGCAGGGAAAAATAAAAAAAAAGAAAAAAAGAAAGAAAAAGGGAAAGAAAAGGGGGGAAAATAATCGAGAGGGAAGTGAGGGAATTTCGAAACGTTCGTGGCAAATTTTGTCGGGATTTCGTGAAGGATTAAAAAGGTTTCGATCATCGGTGTCATCGAAGGACCGGATACGGCCGAAAAGGAACGGCAAAGAAGGATTTCTAGGGTGGTTTTGAAAAACACGCGAGCGCCACGTTGTCGGAAAATTAGCATCGACGACACAATATCGATTACGACTCGATTCGTTCTCTTTTATTTTTATCTTTTTATTCTTTTTTTCCCCTTTTATTTCGGTTTATTTCTTCTTCTTCTTCTTTTTTTCCTCTTTTAATTCGATTTTCATCCATCTTGACGGGTAAAGCAAATCGTAATACATCGGGCGAGTATGTCCCTGTTTAATATATAGAATACATACATCTTTATCTCGCTACAAGGTACTACGAACCCAGATCAAAAAACGATAAGATCCATCGTTTTTCCCTTATTACTTCTTTTGTTTTTTTTTCTTCTTTTTTTCTTTTTTTCTGCGTATTTTTCGTAAGAGATATTCTTATACGGCACGTACAACGACTGGATGGCAACGACGAAACGAAAGCAAAGGTCCTCGCGAACGCGTGAAGAGACCAAAAGAAAAAAAAAAAAGAAAAAAAAAGAAGAAGGAGAAAAAGAAACGAGAAAAAGAAGAACGAAGGGAACGAAACCAGAGAAGGAAGGAACGGAGGGAAAAAAGAGAAAAGAAGAAAAAAAAAAGAAAAATTACAGGAATTGTAACATTCACGAAGGTGCGTTCATCGACGATCTACACGTTCAAGAGACATTCATCGTTAATAATCGCTTAATGAAACTTCTTACTTGTAAAATGTTAATTACGCTTGTTCTATCATTTATTTGCTCGTTATCCCTCCCAACGACCTCTGCCTAACAGGTCACTCCTTTGTTACTTTTCTAGACGTTCGTGTAATTTACTTATTCTTCTCTCTTTTCTCTTCGTCATCACCCTCCCTGACATGTCTTCTCTATCATCCTCGACATTTTGATGGTGGTTCTTGGTGTCTCCCTCGTTTTAACTCTTTGTCTCCCTCTTCTCTACCCTCTGTCTCGTTCTCATACCGATTTCCTTCCCTAATTCTTCGCCAGAAAAAAAGAAACGTCCAAATTCGTGGCTCGTGAATCGAAGGATACCCTAATCTCTGTCAAAAATCAACGGCGTATAGTCCACCCCTTTCTCCTTTCTCCACCCCGTTTCCAATCTCTCGTCTTCCTCGTCGACGAACGACAGCCAAGGACACCGATAAAACAATTTTAATAAACGTAAATAATTATCAATGTATTCGTTTCATCGATTTGATCATGCTTCATCGTGACACGGGAGCAACCTCGGGCTTCTGACGATACCGTAGATCGAAACGCGACGATTCGTTCGATTAAAATTGAAAGAAAAATTCGAAATAAAAGGAACAACGATAGAATTACGCGAAAATGTCTAATTGGAATTCAATGGAGGAAGAAAAATTGCGAGAAAGGTTCATTCGTTTGAATTCATAGCGAAGGAGACGTTTCCTAGGTGTTTTCCCAGGTGAAAACGATCGTCGTCTTGGACAGGTCGATCGGCCAAGCTTTTCCTAAAGGACAGTCGAGGACCTATCCAGCGAGATCGTCCTTCGCCACGATGCATATTTCACCCTCGCCAGGATCGATCTCGAGTCCCACCGTTTTATATTTGATGTGTATACACGGCCGCGGTAAATCTTCTGCAACAACCAATATGATTGCGTTTCAGCTATAGAATAAAGGTCGATTGTTGATACAACAACGACTGTACGGGAGTATCATTTACGTTTAATATTAAAAAGTCGCGGCTTGCCTTGCTGAAAATATTTCATTCGGCTTGGTCGCTTTTCCTGGTGGGATTCGAGACTCCGACCTAGGCCCTGCCCCGCCGGTGCTGCCATCTAGCCGGCAGCCATCTTTCCGGAAACGCCTCCCTCTACGCGTCCATCGGCTGTCGCTCGTCGACTAGTCTGCCTATTTGTATTCGAACCCCCTGTTCCCTGATCTCGATCCCTGCACCGTTCCCATAAACCGTACGTGATCACGTTCATCGTCGATGCATCGTCCGATTGCTCGCTCCTTGGCTGATATAATCGAGGGTACTCCCCGCGAGAAAAATCATCGAACGCGTTCCCAGAAAGATATTCGGCTTACCCCGTGCCGAGATCCTTGTCTCGCGGCGGGCTACCTTGTTTTACGCGTATTTTCATAATTTCTCCCCTTTTTTTTCCTCGTTTTCATTTTCTTACAAACTAACGCCGTTTTTTTTAAAACCGTTTTGCGTTTTTTCTTCGTTTTCTTCATTTTTTTTGCGCTTTTTCTTAGTTTTCTTTTAAATCAGAGATCACTCGTTACGTTTGGTAATCAGTCTATCTGGTCTGCGTTAAAACCTAGCCAGAAAACTCGACTCGAACAACTGCTGCCTCGCTGTTTTCGATCCGGGAGCCACGATCGATCGTCCACCTGCGGAGATTCGCCGGAGGACCCACCCAGGGAAGCTGCGAGAAGGCCCAAGATTCCTCGCGTTCGCCATTTTCTCCTAGCCGAGGGATCCGTGGCGGCCACAGCTTCCCAGGTTCGGACCAGCGCGCGGAATAAAAGATAAAAGCGGTATCACACGGAGCGGAATCTCTTCGTGACGCCTTCACGAGACATGTCCTCGTGGAACATCCCATGTGTTCCGATTAAAGGAAACGGTGGAACAGGAGAGGGTGAGTCTCTTGCCCGAGCTCGTGGGACGTGGTCCAGGTCGATCTCTCTCCTCCGTGGCGATCTCCGTTGTCTAACAGGCTGCCACGTCGATCGATCTCCTCTCCCGGACCTCTTTGGACCCTTGTACGACCTTACTTTCTTTCCTCCGCGACCTTCTCCTGCCAACGACGTTCACCCTAATTAGCTCGCTCCTCCATCGTTCTCTCTCGCGCACGCCAGAAACATTGTTCCCTGTTTTTTACACCTGACACTCGCGTCCCTCTTCCTCTGTCTCTCTCCTTCTCTCTCTCGGCTTCCGTCTCGTTCTCTCAGCCCTCACACGTCTCTGTCGTTTCTCCTCACGCGATGCGAGACGCCGTGTCCCCGCGATTCTCGAAGGGAACAACGCGTGATCGCGCAAATTAACAACAGGTGGTGACCGATACTAGCCTCGAACAACCAACGAGGGACTTACAGGAATTTGTACTCTTTGAATGCGTGTGTTGTTACAACGAAACGATGTTTTTAAACGTTTACTTATCACGTAATAAAGATTACTCGACCCGCCTCCACCAACAAGGCGACTATCTCTCTCTCTCTCTCTCTCTTTCTCTCTCTCTCTCTCTCTCTCTCTCTCTCTCTCTCTTCCCTTAATTATACAGAATTTTACGTTACGATTCACGTATACGTGTTTTTTTTTTTTTTTTTTTTTTTTTTTTTTTTTTTTTTTTTTTTTTTTTTTTTTTTTTTTTTCCCGTTTTTTTTTTTTTTTTTTTTCCTTTATTTTAATCCTTTTTTTTTTTGGTTTCTTTTTCTTCCGTGAGGATCCACCAGTATGTACGTGTGTACGTGTGTGTACGTGTACCGCGTCGTGCTCGAGCAAAGAATGTATCGTATGAGCGTGTGTACATGTAGGTATGCGTGTGACCGTGTGTATGCATGTATGAATACGCGTGTTCTTACTTTAGAAGTGTGTACGCTTTGTTTCTCCATCTCGTTCCCGTTCCCTATCCGTCCCCGTGTTTTCTACCCTCGCTATTCTCCCACCGACCCGCCCTCTATCCTCATCCACGTGTACGTTCGCGTGCACCCGTGTACTCCTCGAAAGGTGGAGGCTCTTTCGGGTTTCGTTAATTAACCGTAGGATTCCCGAAGAAACCCAGTTCGCAATTAACCCGCCCTTGTTCCCTCTTCCGGAACGATAATAATCCCAATCGGCGTTCCCTATCGTTCCCGATTATTCCTAATTCGATAGACGGATCTTCCGCACTGCCTGCTGCTCCACCTTTCATCCCTTCCGCGCGACCGCAGACATCTTCCAGGCATCTCGCAGACTTCCTCCCCTCTCCGTGTCTTCTCCTCTTCGTCCCTTCGGTTTCTTCGTTTGTTTATTTTTTTTTTTTTTCATTTTTTTACTTTTTAGCGTAACACCGTGTATCTGACCCCGGGGCCCGCGTGACGGCGGGCCAGTGGAACGCGACGGAAATGAAGGCTCTTCTCCCGTAGAGGTGTGCACTGAAGAAGCGCCCGTAGTTCGACGACCAGGTGTCCAAGGATCCACGTCCTCGATCGTAAAAAGGACAGTCGATCCAGGGATCGTCGTCGTGGAACCAAGCGTGAGTTTGTTCTCTGACGTCCGTGACGATCCTTCGTGTTATCTCTGTCCCTCTTCCTCTTCTTTCGATTCCAGATACGCGTTCCTTGTCTTCGGGGGACGCTCGGATTGATCCGCCATTATTGAGAACAAATTGGAGCACGCGCGTTCCACGACGCGTCGCGAGCGCGGACACAGAAGCGTGTTACCTCTCCTCTTGGTAACCTCGTCGACAAGCGAAAACAAGAGACTTGGAAATGAAAATCGACGATCGACCGCCTCGCCGAGCGAGCCTCCGCGATCGGCGAAGCGGACAGCGGCGGCGACGTACGTAAATGATACCTTCTCCAAATTATACATAGCGGCGAATATTCTCTGTCATACCCTCGGTCAGTTTCGGCGTGTTTTCCTCTTCGAGCGCGTGCTCGGGGCCCCGCGGAGGAAGCGGCGAGCTCGAGAGAAGGATCCGGGAGAAGGATCGATTGTCGTGATCGATGAGCAACGATCGACGAATGTCCGCTCGCTGTTTGGCGCCAGCACGCGCTTATTGGATCGCTAATTCTCCACGAATGTCCTCCCAACGTCGATCGATCGTCTCTCCGATCCGGATCAAACTGTTCTCCCGGTCTCTTCAGGTTCTTCTGGTTCCTCGTCGAGAAAGAAACGCGCGGAATCAGCTTCTCCTACCCCCTTCTCCATCTTTCTCTCTCTTTCTCTCGATAAATTTAGTCTCCCTTAAAAATATGTACAATACTCGATCGACAATTTACACGCGACTCTGTGCTTCCCGCTCGTTTCTCGCGCCTCTTTCTCGCGATGTTCTAGAGACAAGGGTGGTTCTCTTCCTTCAGCGTCGTCGGTTTCATTCCTCTTCTTCCCTTTTCCCCGGCTCGTTGCTACCGATCCTGGTTGTTCCAAGTCGTTCCTCCCGGCTCTACCCTCGTCAGACGTGCATAGGTCGCACGTACACGCGCGTACGCGCCGGGTGCCGTCGCCTCTTCAACGCTTCTCCCGTTGCCCGGGCGTCGCGGCGCGCGTCCCGCGACCCTCTGCAAGGGTGCACCGAGGGTTGTCGCGTAGACGCGTGTACGCGAGCTGATATTTCGCACGCCGTCGATCCTCGCACGCTCCGATGGCTCCTCTTCCTTCTTCCGCTCCTCTTCCGCTTCCTCCGCCGCCCCCGGCCCCCTCTCGAGCGTTGCTCCCCTGTCTCTCCGGCTTCTCCGACGTCTCTCCATCGCCGCACCAGCTTCTTCTTCGTCTTCTTCTTCATCTTCCGCGCCGCTTTCTCCGCCGCTTCCTCTTCTGCGCCCTCAAATGCTCCCCCTCCACGTTCTTCCGCCGCCACCGCGCCACCTCTTTGTCTGCAAATAGCCAGCAGGCACGGACGTGAGAATTTGTTTGTCGAGCATCCGTGTCGTGTTGCTTTTTACCACCCCCGTTTCTACCTTTCGTACGCTGTAGAAACCCCCTTTAGCCGGAGTGAACCCCCGCTAAAGGGGGTGCTGGCCGAAAAAAGCGGGAGATTTATATTCTACGGTTTTGGGTAAATATCTGCAGTGAAACCGAGGATGGCAGGGGGAGGGGGTGGGATTCGATCGCGAGAGTTTGACACGCGATCGCGTGGGGGTTGATACATCACGGTGCAGGAGGAAGCTGTGTTCCGGGGGTGGTTCGGGGTTGTTTCTCTTTCGGGTAAGCGGTTCTTTCTGTTCGAGAGTCGCAATCAGGGTGTTATTATAGGAGACTCGGTGTTTAGAAATTTAACTATAGAAAGTACGTATAAGTGTCTTCGTGAAATTGCGAATGCTTCTGAGGAAGAGATTTATAGATTAATTGTAAGGTATAGTTGTGATACTAGAGCTACCGATTTTTAGTGGGTACATGAATACTGTCGGTATAGGTAATAGTAATTCTAGTGGCACGATTAGGATAAGTGAATGTATTAATTATATCTATATTATGGGTAGCTCAATATGAGTCGATATTAAGTTTTTTGAAAGCTGGTATATATATTATTTTCAATAACTGCGAAGAGGAAGATCAGGATTTTTAACTGGGTTGATAGTCCTACTATTAAAAATTATATTTGTAGAAAATTTGTCAGAAATTTTCGACACACCGGTGTTGCATTTGCAATGGAATAAGTAAATATATTAATTACAGGTCTGTCTGAGTCGGTATTAAGTTTTTTGAAAGCAGGTATATACATTATTTTTAATAACCGCGAAGAGGAAAATTCTGAGATCAGGATTTTTGACTGGTTTGGTAGTTCTAGTGATAAAAATTATAATTGTAGAAAATTTCTTAGAAATTTTGGACACTGATTTGGTCACATGTAGAATATTTTTATTCCATAGATCAGCGATTTTGACGTTTTGGAAAGAATATTAGCTGTCTCAGTCAACATTAATATTTTTTAAAGTAGGTATATATACATTTAGTAATTGCAAAGAGGAAAATTCTGACATAACTCATTTTGACTAGATTTAATTCCAGTGTTAATTAAAAATTAAAATTGTAGAAAATTTCTTAGAAATTTTGGTCATCGATATTCCATCTAGAATAAGATAAATAAGTATATTAATTACAAGTCAGTCTAAGTCGATATTAATTTTTTTAAAAGCAGGTATATACATTTCTAATAATTTCAGCCAGGAAAATTCTGAGACCAGTCATTTTTACTAAATTGGTAATACCTTCTAACTAAGTGTTAATTGAAAATAAAAATTGTAGAAGATTCATATACATTTTCATTCCATCGATCAGTGAGTCTGACCTACCCCAACAACGAGACTCATTTCGAAATAAAAATATTCGTTTCGGGAAGAAGAATATTATAAATATCTTAAATAATTTTTATTTTTCTCAATGAGAAGAAACTCGAATAACCAATTGTACATTCTCAGTGTCTCTCTAGCAACCCTAGCATAAGTCCAAGGGGTTAATAAATTGTTCGAATGGAAGGGTTAAACGGGTCTTTTGAAGTCGTATCAGCACAATCTGAAAGATAAAGGAACTTCGGAGCACACCTTTCACGTTCCACCGTTTTCTTCCTCTCCGCGAAGTTATTGTTTATTGTCAACGTTGCGTCACTTAACGGAAATGTCATCCTATTTCGCGAAACTTAAAGACCGTCGGCATAGTTGCGGAAATGAAATGAAATTTGCAAGTTCGCGAAAGCCACGAGTTTCGCTCGGTAATAAACCCCGACTTCTCTTTTAAGCTGGTCTTTTTCCAGGACCGTATCGCGCAAAGAAAAATATTCTTTCCATGGGGGTAGGGGGGTGGGGTGGTTGGAGGAACAGCGTGATATTTTTTATTACACCGTGATGTATCGTTTTATTTTTGCACGTCAGACAGGACGCGTGTTGGCTGGAATATTACACATTTTTCTCTCCCACCTTTTTCGCCCTTTTTCACTTGCCACTTTATCGTAAGCTATGACTACGATAATTACGAATGCGCTATGGGAAAATGGCGTTAGGCAAGCATGCGAGAGCTACGCCCTTCCCTTTGTGCCGCGGTTAATTTTTCGTCTGCCTTTGATTATCCTCTGTTTTCCACCACGTGTATACAAATTATTTCTCCCCCTTTCTCTCCTGTATGAACATTTTTTTTATCTCCCTTACACTCGGGGTCGTACGATCAGTGTTTGGTAATAAAGCAATTGTCAACGTGGAAATACCTTTCTGGAAAAGAGAATATATATTTTGCTTATGCGAGATGATAGGCGAGGTAGAATGAAGAGAAAGTGTTTTATGAACATCGTGTGTGGACGTGCATATTCAACGAGACAAACTCGAATTTAGTTAATCGTAATAGATAAACGGGTTCCTCGAGGAGATTAGTATGGGTGTTATGATAGGTGCGTCTGTGTTGCCATTTTTATTTTAGAATAGCTGGATTTAGAATTTCACGACTCCATATTCCAATTGCTCGATAGTATCTTAAATAATATTATTATCAGTGAATACTTAACGTGTTCGTTATTAGATTAGTTTAAAATATTTTTATCTTATTACATTCGTGTTCTCGATATTTTTGGTTTTAATTTCCTCGAGATATTTACAAGTAACGTGAAATTATCAATGATTTTTAAAATTGGATTAGGTTAGGTTTGGTTTGAAGTACGTATAGGTTATGTTAAGTTAACTTTGGAATTAAGTTTGAGTTAATTTACAATTTGGGGTAGGTTAGATTATTTGTCAAACGATGCAACTGCACTTTGTTAGTTACTGCTGCTGCAAAACATTTCTCCCTTAATATAATACTTTTATTTAATTTAAATTTACGGATAAATAAAGTACATTATTTTTAAACGAATTTTGTAATTCGCAATCTTATGTTAGGGATGAAAATTTGCACATTGGGGGTACGTTTCGTTAAGGTTATGTTTGGTTGTGCTAGGTTAAGTTAGATGTGATAAAGGATTCAATTGTGTGGACCTAACCTAACTTTTACTTATTGCTGATGTGAAATATTTCTGTAGCAATATGATACTCCTAATTTCATTGAGACTGACAAATAATCGAGTATAAGAAATTTCGAAACAAATTTTATAATTCACAAGCTTCTATTAGTGCTAGCTTCTATAAAATTCTGCAATTTGAGATAGGTTTCTGTTAGGTTAGGTTCGACGAACGATTCCGTTACTCGAAGCTAACCTAACTTTTACTCATTGCCGATACAAATGACAAATAATCGAGTGCAGGAAATTTCGAAACAAATTCTATAATTCACAAGCTTCTATTAGTGCTAGCTTCTATAAAATTCTGCAATTTGAGATAGGTTTCTGTTAGGTTAGGTTTGACGAACGATTCCGTTACTCGAAGTTAACCTAACTTTTACTCATTGCCGATACAAATGACAAATAATCGAGTGCAGGAAATTTCGAAACAAATTTTATAATTCACAAGCTTCTATTAATGATACAATTTTGCAATTTGTGGTAGGTTCCTGTTAGGTTAGGTTAGGTTTGACGAACGATTCCGTTACTCGAAGCTAATCTAACTTCTACTCATTGTCGATACAAAATATTTTTGTGCCAATATGATAGCCCGAATTTCATTAAAGCTGACAAATAGTCGAGTGCGGGAAATTTCGAAACAAATTTTATAATTCACAAGCTTCCATTAACGACGGGAGCCCGCGGCGACCAACTTCAGACTTACCCCTTTTCAGTGTCAGAGCAAGGAGGAACTACCGGTCGGGAAAACGTTAAGGAAACCACTCTGTATGTTAATTTATAACGCAATCGAGCAAGGAATTAAATTTCTATCCGAATTCCCCAAGTTGGAACAGAAAAAAGAGGGAACGAGGAGAAGCGAAAAACTCCTTGTCGGGGCTATCCCGTTAATCGAATCTCTGAAACGGTGAATAGAGTGCCTCGCATGGGAACGCGATCATTTCGGGCACGTAGAAAGCACCGTCCACGTGGGCGTGCAGTTCATGGTTATTATCCAAACGTTTCGGAACAAGAGGTAGGAACAGGTCTGAAAAATATTTCTCGCCTAGCAAACGCTCGCGATGTCCATGTTGTATACGCGTTCGCAAAATGGCTTCTATTCAGAAGGCGCTGTTAAGGATGCTCTTTCAACTCGAGCTTTTAACGCTATTAAATTTAGAACGTGACTTTGATACCGTGGTTCCGCGAGTTGGAGAGAGAGGAAGAGAGAGAGAGAGAGAGGAAAAGAGAGATCGGTTTGGCTACGGGCACGTTGTTGCCAGCCGCATTCTGAGTATAATTGGTGCTAAAAACACGAGTTGAAAGGCCATTTAAGCCCTCGACAGCGTATTCTGAATGCAGGTCAATACCTTCAAAAATATGGCCGCGCTTTTTAGAAAATGCCCAGCGATATTTGGGAAACGTGCACAGGCAGGAGCTGGAAGAAATGTCAAGTGGCAAAAGGTTTTTCGTTAATGCACCGAATGCTGAAGGTTATTATTATTCTCAAACGCAGACGAAAGATTAACCAACGGGTGGTCGTTTAATGTTCATTTTACTCGCATGGTTCCTGTCCTTTTGGTCACACAGTTCCATTGCGAACGCCATTTTGTTCGCTTTTCTAACGTTATTGATTCTTTAAACATGTCTGAACAGATAGACACGAAATTTTGAACCCTTTGGTAGATTTAGTGTCAAAAAATTCATTTTCATTTCTATAATATAACATAGAAAATGATAGAAGAAATTAAGTAATTTTATTTTGAAACAATTTCTCGTTTATGTTAACCCCTTGCACTCTAGAGGCGATACTCAGTCGCCATTTATGTGGTAATGGTTGACATAGATTTTAATATTGTTTAATAAGTATATAATATTTTCATTTAAATATAATATCCACGACTAACAATTTAATCAATTTCCAAAGATCAATGGTAACCCTTTCGCTACAATAGTCACCTGCCACGTGGCGCCACCTACACACGATGGGGACTTAGTCACTGGCCACGTGGCGCCACCTACACCACCCGTGTACAGTGCTCCCGTTTCGCTTAGATCTCTTCGCAAAGTATTGCAAGCACTATTGCGATAATTTTTCATTTTCCCTTTTTCTTGAAAAAACCGAATAATATATTCCGGAATAGTATAGAATAGAAAACTTAGTTCCAAAAAGCTTGGAACCTAACCTCTCCGTAGCGAAAGGGTTAATCATGATATATCAGATTTGAAATAACGATACGTAGAACGTAGAAATGAAATAATTCTACGTATAAATTTGTATGGGATTTCTTATTTATTTTCTTATTTTTATATATCGTTCATTTTATGACAGAAAATTTTCTAATTGCTATTTTTCTGAATGGAGAAAATCGTCGAGTGCAAAGGGTTAGTTGTTGGATTTCGAATCAAAAATAAATTGTTCGTGAAATAGTAACGATTGGATATCTACCTAAAGATTGTCCATCATTTCGGAAAGGGTCAGCCTGGAGGTGGACATTGCGACGCCACTGTCGCTGCTGCTCTGCACGCTGCTGTGATCATCGGTGTCCGACTGATTGCTCGTATAACCGATCACGTCTACTTCATCTGTAATCAGAAAACGAGGAAAACACATAAACAAGGGAGCAGAAACATTATCTTAAAAGAGATCTTTAAAAATCATGGTCAGTGTCAAAGAAGCTAAATACGTCCCTGGTATGCAAATATTAGGTGTTGACAAGGAGCTTGTTAAATAGGTTCCTTGGTTAAACTACTTGTTCTAAAGATAATCCGGAATTTCCTGTTGTTCGTCTTTTATCTTATTTATTTATCGTAGAATTTTCAGTTAAAAATTTTTAATTACTTAATTAGATGATTTCCATGATCAGACACGGTTTAAGTTTATAAATATATATATTGTATATGTATAAGATGCTAAACATCAATTTCCACTCCATCATGTGGTGAACTGATGAAGCCATAAATTAATGGAGGATGTGTACTATTAGATTAAGAATAGAATTATAGGTGAACACCCTAATTGCTATTATTTCATAAAATAGGACTATACTTAATCTGACTCAAACCTAACCTAACTTAAACCACCCTTTCATCCTCATCACTCCTAAATTATATAATTTCATAGATACTTTGTAACTATTCATCGTCTAACCAACAGTATATTATATACAATATAATATCAGTATAAGAAAAATTTTTTTTCAACCCCCAATTAAGCTACCACCCCTCATCCACATCTCTGCCACAATCCTTAATTAGAATACTTTATAAATATTCATCAGCCAGCCAACAGATATATTTCACATAAAATAAAATCGGTATGAAAAGAATTTTGTTTCAACCCCTAATTAAGCAATCACCCGTTCATCCCCATCTCTGCCACACTTTTAAATTATAATATTATCGATACTTTTTAACCATTCATAATTCACCCAAGAAATATATTCCACAGAATATATCAGCATACAACCAATTTTTTCCAACCCCCAATTAAGCAACCACCCCTTGGTCCCCAATTTTTCTACACTCCTTAATTAGAATACTTTATAATTATTCATCAGCCAGCCCACGGATATATTTTACATAAAATAATATCGGTATAAAAAGAATTTCCTTTCAACCCCTAATTAAGCAATCACCCCTTCATCCCCATCTCTGCCACACTCCTAAATTATAATATCGTCGATACTCTTAAGTATTCATCATTCATCTAAGAAATATATTCTACACAATATGATATCAGTATCAAAAAAATTCTCCTCCAACCCCCAACTTAACAACCACCCCTTAATCCTCATTTCTTCCACACTTTTTAATTAGAATATTTTATATTTATTTATCACCCAGCCAACAGATATATTCCATACAATATAACATCAGTATTAAAAAAATTCTTTTCCAACCCTCAACAAAGTAACTACCCCTTCATCCCCATTTCTTCTACACTCTTCAATTATAATATCATCAATACTCTTTAACTACTCATCATCCATTCGAGAAATATATTTTATATAATATAAAATCAGTATAAAGAAAATTGTCTTGCAACTCTCAAGTAAGAAACCACCCCTTCATCCCCATCTCCACCACACTTCTCCATTCGATTATTTTATAATTATTCTTCATGCAGTCAACAGATATATTCTACCTAACACAACATCCCTATCTACAAATATTATTTCAACCCCTATCTAAACAACCACCCCGTCACCCCTCGACTCGGCCACAATCCCCCACTAAGACCCACCAGGTACCCAATACATCAGCCGACCAATCATCCCCAGTCACTCTCACCCAACGCACGCCTCGCCCAGCCCCCGTGACACCCGGCTGATACGAGGCCTACGCCAGTGGGTCGTTAGATAATTTAAAAAACTCAGGTGCGCGGGACGCGCGCGGTAAATTGTAGACGCGGCTGGACAGCTGTGTGCTCGTAAATAGGAGTGCGGGGCAACAATCCCGGCGATTCCGGGGGCGTCCGCGCGAATTCCGTCGCAATCGATACACGCTGGCAGCGGCGTCGCCGGTGCACGCGCGGACCAGCGTTTTCGAAAACGTTGCCGGTACACGTGCCGCGACGACTCTTCGTGCACGTGTATCCAATAATCCCGTTCCCCTAAATGCGGCACCAGTTTTCCTATTTCTCTCCGTCGACAATGCTCCAATCGTGCGTGAGCGTCTCTCACGTAGTCCCGTTTGACTCCGCGTCCCGGCAGCTTTCGAGATAGCCTAGGTTCACTCAATTAGGGGGAAAAATAGCAGACCGAGAGAGGGAATGGTCGATAATTTTCCGCGACTCCCGGACTCACTCGAATCGGACGCAATTGGTACCTGTGCTTAATTAAAATGGTACCCGAGGTACTCAGGAGGATTCTGGGAGGCTTGGTGGGGGAAGGATGAGGTTAGGTTGTTAGGATTTGTATGTCTAATTGGTAGAATCATTCAAATTGGTAGATTTGAAATTAATGGGACTTTTTGGAAGCATCGAATTTTCTAGGGGAATTATTAGTCTGGTCTAGGGAGTATTCGCGTCTTTCAGGGACAGACTAGGGAGTTTCAAGTTCCAGGATAGTGACTGGGATTGATAAAAAGGATGCTGCTGCGAGAGGTTCATTGGTCTCCAAGCACGTTAGGTAGCTTTAAAGACGGGATAGAAATATGAGTATCTAATTAATGGACAAAGGGTCGAGTCTCATTGTCACTCGAGCTGATCCGTGGATCGCGCGGGGCTAAGATTTTATTCTTAGCACTCAAGGTCGGTCGAAGGTTAAGAAAGGTCACCGAGGTCGGGTTATTGCCAGTCAGGGTGATTCTAAGGTCACAGGGGTTGCCAGTGTCGTGTCATTGAACTCGTCCCAAGGACAGGCAGACTTCGCATCAACCCTGTGATCTATTTCAACATCAAACCTCACCCTCAAGGTCGTGTTATCAATACTCAAGGTCACTCGAGGCTCAAATCGGATCACTGACAGTTGCATCATCCTAAATCGTTTCACCTGATGACCTAACGAGGTTGCATGGAAACAGTTCCCCAAAACACGATAGGTCGTCGTAAATTAACTCGACGGCCGCCATCTTGGTTGCTCCGGAAGCTATCATAAGCGCGGGTTCGTGAAACTTCCCTGCCAGGGATGATCAATTTATCCCGCATCGCCTTATGGTGTTATCCGAAAATACCTTCGGCAATAACCATAAAGCATCTCGCGGGAAGCTTATTTTCCCTCGCAGAGGTTAGGTGCCTGTGCCGGATAAACGGGTTCACGGGCAAAGGGGGGCCGATCTTTGTCCCCAAAAATCCGCCAGACCCTTTATTGCCCGTCTCCTTGACCTGTAGCAACAACTTTTCTCGGTCGTTGGACGGGGAAGGCACGGCGCGAGGAATTTTATGAATCGTAACTCGCGACGGCCAGGCAAGTGGGAGTCGCATCAAAGTCTCGTTAAACTAGTTTGACGCCGATCGGCCGACCCTCGACCTTTCTCCCGGCGTGCATCGGGGCTACACGCCGAATTCTACGACGCGAGCGTGCAGCCAGCGAAACTTTTTATCGTTCATATAGCGTACGTGAGATTCTACGAGTGCGCCGCGCAGAGAATGTACGCCAACGGTATTAGAACCAGTAAAACGTCGGGAATACGTTGGCCGTTGCTGCCTGCCAACGTGCCACGCGATTAAGCGCCGACGAGTTCCGTGCTCGCGGAACAGCGCTCCCCCGGCGTCCACGCCTATGCGTGCGCAGGGGCGACTCGACGCGGCGCGAGGCCCCCGCTGGATACTTCAACGCTGCTGCGTACATAAAGGCTCGGTTTAATTATGTATCTTTCTGGATAATCTGCTGAAACGTGGAATTAAATACCTCCAATCGTACGTAAGAATAGGCCAACTCGGGAATCTGATTTCAGCAAAGCAGCGAATAAAAGAAATTACGCTAAATCATATACGTCGCCTGGCTCGGGTCATGCAAACTCAGGTACGATAAGAAGGTTATGGTAATAACGCGATATGTCACGTTTCTCGGATTTTACGGCTGGATTAGCAAACCGAAAGACTTTTTAAAACATTTAAAAAATGATCACAGCGATCAGATAAATGTTACAATTTTATTAGATATTTTTAGATCCAACAGGTTATTCATCTTTTAACTGTACCATTAGTTAACTGTACCATCCTTCGTACAATTTTAATGAATGAATTGCAACTAATTATAAAAAAAGAAAAAATTTGCAAAACGTCCTCAAAAAGAACGACACTGCGGGACAAGACCCTTAGCACGGAAAAAATCTGCGTAAGTCTGGTCCCGACGTGCCAGCACGCCGGTGAAACGACATCACGAGTGAACATTGACGCCTCGCAACGACGCTAGAGCCATTCCGCAGCGAAGAAAAACGAAAAGCCAGCGCGAGCCCTAACCAACAACCTAATTACCAGCGCTCATTTTCCGCGGCTGCGAGACGCTTTACTGTCGAGGCCGTATAAACCGGTACTCTTTACGACGTCACACCGGCATCGGGATATTTTATAAGACGTCTACGCCTGGCGCGAATTACCTGCAGCATAATTAACAGCATCTCCATGCCGCGGTACGGGCATTAAGTTCGCGCATAATTACGTATTAATATCATAGGAGCACACCTACGTGTCGCGCCGCGCAGACACCGGGCTGCATAGGGGGCGCTGCTGCGTTCGTGACTGCCGGGAGTCCCGCAGCGCCCCCGACGGTAATTGCGCCCACGGCGATTCTCGATCTCGTTGCGAGAGCTCGCATGAAAATAGCCGATATTGAACTTGGCGATCAGTGTCACGATGAGAACGGCCCTTAAGGCGGTATACGTCACCGCTGAACGCCGCGTCGTGCCGCGTTCTCCCCGACGTCCGTAAAATATAACCCCACCGACGACACCCACGCGTCGTCGCGTTCAGTGTGTACGATGTACACGCGCGCCTCGCCGGAGTGTGTTACGCGGAATGGAAGAAGGAAGAGGACGAGCGCGGGAAGAGAAAATAAAAGGCGATTGAAGGGGACAAGAATGGCGGAGTACAGGCGTACCACGAAGAAAAAGAGCGCACGGAGCAACAGCGTGCGAATACG